CTCTATGTGCAGTAACAATTATTACTTTTTAGGTGCTGTCGACAAAGGGTGAGTCCAGAACTTTTTTTTTCTTTTCTCTCCGGATGGCCTTCCTGTCGGCCTCCGTCTGTCCCTGTCCTTTACAGTTTTAGAGTCAGGAATAAAGAGAGCTAGTTACCAATTATACATTGGTTTTTAGTTCTGTGTAATCTTGTTTAATCTAAATTAATCATTTAGACATGACTGAACGATGTGGTGTACAGTCATATGACTAGTACGTTTACTAAAATAGTTTAACCTATTTGAACAAAAACCTTATGGATGTCTGATGACATTGACTTCAAACCACTGGATCCTGAATGTCTTCAATGCTGTGGATGAAGAGCCATGCCAGGTGTGTACCCTTTTCCTTTTTCTGGGGGGTGGGGTTGGGCTTGTCTGGCTGCCATGCCATAACCTTTTTCTTTTCAGCTTTTTCTGGATGAAGACAACAGGAAGGAAAACATTAAATTGCAGTTAGTTGCACGGTTAAAATGTGACACACAAGTTAAGTGACGCTTGTCACTTTCTTTTCCAGCCGCCGAGCTGCCCTTACGCCCTATCATGGCCTCTTGCCATGACCTTTTTTTCCAGCCGCTGAGCTGATCATGAGTTCTATCCTTCCTGTCCTTGACTACTTATAAAAGTAATGCATCTAAAAATGCCTAGTTGTCGGTAAAGTAGACATAATAGCCACTGTTCAGTCTAAAATATGTAAAACTTAGAATGTTGTAGCAGCAGAATTTCTCCACTTTCAAATCTCTGTGTGTGTGTATGGGACCAGATGTTGGCAACCAAAAGGTTAGCTTAGTTTGAACTGTGACGGATGTCTTATTTTGGCTGCTGTGTTGAAAGACTGACGTCCAGTAATGGGTTCAGCGCCACTGTGGCGCTTCCTCTTGGCTGCCATGCCTACCTGTCTACTGTCCTATATTTCCCAGTGTGGCCATTAACATTTGTAGGTTACTGGCAGTTTTTAATAATTACAATTTTATGAATTTACGTTGCGGTTGTTTTCTACAATTCTGGACGTTGCGATCGTTTTCCAGAATTCCATATCCTGTTTGCGGTCCATTGCCAGAACATAATGGACATAATGGTCATCTTCCAGAATCCTGATGTCCTGTTTATGGTCCTTCTCCACAATTTTGGATGTCCTGGCAGTTTTCTGTTCGGTTGCTGTCCAGCGTGGCTACCAGAGTTCCAGCTTCATCAACCTACATGAATGTACACTATGTCATGTAAATTTGCTTGACTTTGTACTTTTGTAAATGTGTGTGTATATATGTAAATTGCTTGACCTTGTACTTTTTTAAATGTATACATGTAAATTTGCTTGACTATGTACATTTTCACTGTGTACCTATGTGATCCTGTCTGTGCTGTCAGTGTGTATGTGATGTTGACCTCTGGCCTCTAATGTTTGCATGACCCTCGGTGTGATCACTGGATACATGCAGGGCTAAATTGACACATTTTCAAATATGCTGGTGTAATCTGGTAGGCATGCAGGTTAGGTTGCGCATTTAGGTTCTTTAATAGAAACTATACTTGGCAAAGAGACAACCCTCAACTTGGTAAAGATTTAGTCCACAGTTGTCTGTTTTTGGTTTTTGTTATTATTTATTTATGTATTTATTGTTGTTTTAAAGTGTGTAGGCATTTTATTTACTTTAGATAAAGTCTCTGGGCCAACTCAATAGGTGGCTTAGCGTATTTGTTTAATCTTTTTATATTCTTGGGCCTCCATTCCTTTACAATGTTTAAAACTCAAAATAAACTACATTAAATTTAATGATTGTACTATCTTTCCTTCACTTAACTTTAAAGGGAAGAAAAAATGCAACTCAAACTAAATGACACACAGAACCTTAAACCAAACCAACCTATTCTATCCTGGCCCTTATTTCTGCAGCTTGGATTTTTTTTTTTTTTTTTTTACATTGGGATAAAACAAATCCATGTTTCCTCTTGTGTGCAGTTGACTTTTGTTTTATTTGTGACAAGTTGAAATTGAACGCTTTAATGTTAAGTACTTGCTTTAAATGTTGGCATTTAACTTTTTCATGTCAGCATTTTAATTTTACATGTCAGCATAAGTTTGGCATTTTGAGACTAACATGGTAGGGGACTTTATGTTATGATTGATTTCTAATCTGGTTGTGCTTTTGAGAGACGTCAATGTCATCAGTGTAAATGGGCAGAGCCTGCTTTAGTAGACAATTGTGATTTGATTGTTAAGGATTTTGAGTTTGTAGAATTAAGTGGAATGAATCATTTGTTTAGTATACAGTGCAATTAGCTAATATAAATATGTAGGGACATGGATATGTAAGAATAACTCAAACTAATGGGTAATAAAGGAATTAATGCATTTGAAAAGGGAATGCATTTCTTTCTTTAAAACAAGAAATATATAGACAGAGCGGGGGGAAGGAACAATAACGGTTATAGGTGGGAAAAACAATAGAGGTTAATTTATAAATGTTTCATTCACAAGGTTGCCCAATTTAAAAAAACAAAAAAAAACTTAAATTGATTTGTTTTGCAGTTACTAAACCAAGACAACAGCCTCTTGACTGCTGAGCTACTAACCACGAGCTCTGGCTTATGAAAAAGAACTATTGACGAAGGTTAAACAAGGCCATGTGAATTCGGCAATTCTCTCTAGCAGCATGAACACAACAGCGTTTGAAAGTTCCTGCTGCATATTTAGGCACATTTTGTGTTTGGTGCTTGGGATCTGTAAATAATGTAATCAAACATTTCTTTTCATCTTCATCCCACTGAAGCCACCAGTCACCAGGTTTCATCACATGATCCATTTTGTTATGGGATAATGTTGACATTAACAACTTCGTTAAATTAGGTTTGCTTGTTTAGGTACGTGCAATAATATACTAAAAACTCACCCCCAAAACAACCCAGAACAAACTAAAGGTATGAAATGGAGATTATATGGGTTATGTACGCACAGATGGAGCTTAATTCATTAGCTTGGTCATTTTTTAAATTTATATTATCAGGGACAGTGCAGGAAGACAAAGTTTATTTGTTCTTCATACAGAGTTTGTGGCAAATTTGCATCACTAGTCCCTGGCTTGGCTTTTCAAAAAAACAAAAAACAGAACAAATACAAACTCAAAATGGTAAACTGTGGGTGCAGCCTTTGTATTTAGTCAGTTAGACATTTGGGGATTAAATTTGAGTTGTGGAACTAGTAAATTTCCCTTTTGTTAACTTAAAACTGTACTCAGCCTTCTTAATGCTGAGCAGTGGAGGATTTTAGTTAAGACTCTTTTAGACATTAGTCATACACAGACATCTTTTTTAGACACATTGCCACAAATTTTGCTTGTATAAGGGTGTGGCAATAAGAGACATCTGAAACTCAACCACTAAAACTGGTGGAAGTTAGTTGAAAGTATTTAACTGCCTACAGAAACAGAGGGTCAAAGAAAGAGGAAGAGAGTGCATGCATGTGTGTGCATGCTGCAGGGAGGTGGGCTACACAGAGGCAACCAGGGGTGCTGAGGCTGACTGACAAGAGCCAGAACACTCGAGCAAACTCCTGTCCAGCTACTATGTTTATTTGGAGGACGGCCATTATCAGTCTCTTCTACTGCTACATCAAAATGAGCATCACATGCTGTCAGACCAAAGGTAAAGATGTTTTATATAGGAATATTCAGTGATGTCTTGCATGCTGAGAATGTGAGACTGACTTATAACGGTGTTATAGATATTTAAGTATAAATGTATACTTGTAGGTTTTAACTCAGGAAAATGTATTTTCTCTTAATAGTAATCTTGACTGAACACACTGTGCCTTTTGCAACTGAAAGAAAACTGTTTCTTGTAAAGATGGTCATAATTTGTTTTGTATTATTGTTAGGCATGCAACAACATTCCTGCATGATTAAACCAGTATTGTATTGGAGGAAAGAACTTAATCTACAACAGAAAAAGTCATGATTCATGTCTGTGTGCGTGTAGTGTAGTGATGTTTACTGAGTGTTAAATGACAATAGTTTGTGATGTTGAATAACTGGTGGGAGAAGCTGTTCTCCCCACTCTGTGACATACAGTACAGGTGGTCACCCTATGTGTGCTCTACAGTAGACGGTGACTTTAAAGGATGCTGTGAAAAATCAGGGTGAAATTCTAAGCTGATGTACTGCATGTTGAAATCATCTGGAACCTGCTGTGTTACCATGTGTTACTCCACCTTTGATTTCCTTGCCGTCTTTGAAGTCGGAGGCCACGTCTTATTGCTCGCAAACACAAGTCGGAGAGTTATGCTCCGAGATCTGTGTAGAAAGGCAAGGTCCGTGGGTATTACTGCAGTATGTGCTGGTGATTTTTCTGGATAATGTGTGCCACACTGTTGGTGTGTACCATCTAAGTCTATGTGCGTGAGCCTAATTTGGTTTGTGTGGGTAATTATTTAAGTAGAATTTGTCTTCTACAATCACAAGGCCTGTTTACAGTTGTGAGAAGATCAAAAAGAGGAGGGGCGGCTGCAGCAAACACTACTTTCTACAACTCTTTCAGTGATGTTCATCTCTTATTTGAGGTGAATTAACATACACATAAGTATAAAAATCAGAAAAAAGTACATGTCTCTCAACATCTTTTCCTTCTGCCATGTAGATCCTTCTGACAGGCATTACCTTTGAGCCCGGTGGAGAGGTTTCAGTACATGATGCTGAGTTGGCTTCTCTCCGCAAGACACAAAACCTGAAGGTCATCTGTGAGGAGATAGTACCCAGAAAGCCCTCAGACGTCCTTATGTTTGTCTCTCATCTTTCAAATAAAACCAAACAACTTAGTCAGGACGATTTTGAACGCACATTGTTGACTTTAGTGTACCTCGCCCAGCAGATGGTTAGTTCTATGACCAACTATCAACAAGATATGTGGGCAGAGTCATTTGTAAGCTTGTATGAAATTATCAAGCAGGACCTGATGCGCTGAACACAATTAAAAAAAAAAAAACAACTTTCAGTAGATGTTAAGGCTGAAAAGAATATTTTTTTATAGTAATTTTTATAGAGAAAACACATCAACAGAGTAAAGGGATTGATGATAAAATATTTGATACACAACACAAATTTCAATCAAACATGAGTATTTGTATGTACAAAATATACACTGGATGTGTTACTGAGGCTTCTTATACATCCCCTACTACTTACATTTGCATGCCTTCAGTGTCAATATACTCTTATATACTTTTAAAATAAATCCAGTATTATTATATTATCCAGTAATTTTTACCTTCCTCTTTTTTTTAGTTATTTAAGTTATTACAGTACAGTGTCTTTAATGGAGTACGCATTTAAGGTACAACGTGAACTGCTTCTGTGCTAATGTTCTTGTAAACTAAGTTTGCAACAGCTCATAGAGAGACACTACAAATGATCTGTGCTGGCTCTGAGTGCCCGAGCTGCTGCTTTGTCTCCAAGGAGCTGGTGTCTGCTCCAGATCCATCTAAAGAGCCAGAGACATCAGGAGGACAGAATGGTATATACCGTAGCCAGGAGGGCCAACGAAATCTGTTGCTGAAGGGAAGGTTGTAGACTTCTCCACATTCCAGTGTGTTGCAGGAGTCATCCTCGTGAGCTTTGTTCCAAGCAAGAATGCCTCGTTCATGCTTAGATCCTGTTGGACACATGTTAAATCTATTAAACCATATGTTCCAGTTGACTGAAGACAATGTTCCACTCAAACTGCACATGATGTCTTGTTTTCTCTTTTGTTGGGTGCCTGCACTCAGACATTTACAGATCTGCTCTCTGTCCGCGACATTGATGATCTCTCTTGCTCCAAAGAGACACAATGAGTGAACTAAGAAGAAACAAAACGGAGCCTATGCTACGATTACTTTGTGACGTGGTTAAAAGATCTTTGTTTTCATTTGAGATACACATGTGCCCCCAAACTGTTTAAATCAAAAAAGACAATTAAAAAAAAGAACCCAACATGTGCTGTTTAAGTGTCACATAAGGCTTCTTCTATTTGCTTAACCCTGGCTAATCACACATTTATTAAAGATCATTAACTTTGATGGTTGTGACTGAATTGTGCCAGAATCCTTCCTTTGTACCTTTAAAGGATATTTAAATAAGTGAAAATATTTTTAAAGCAACAATAACCTGACCAATTTTAAGATACCTGGAATAGTGTTGTCCAAGATGAAGCCTAAGAAGCCTCCAACAAACATACTGGTAGTCAGAAGTACCTGCAGCACCTGGTCAAGTTCGGTCACGCCTGAAACCATCACACACAAAAAAAAAAAATGTTCCCACAGCAAGAGAAAATCCAAGTATGTCATGTACTGTAATGTCATCATGTGTATTGTGGTTAGATACCTGTAGCAAACGAATTTGGGTTTTTCATTATCCAGTTAGGAATAACTAGGCCAGAGAATATAGAGAAGCCAAATATAAAGATGTTACGGGATGAATTCATATCTGCATACTGAAAGAAAAATGGTTAAAGACAACCAATTAGATCAGAAAAAAAATTGTCCCAAATAGTTACATTATTTTAATATTTACCTGGAGGGTTGAAACTCCCGCGGCAGAGATGACACCAAACATGACCATTAACATGCCTCCTAACACGGGTGATGGGATGGTGGTAAATATAGCACCCACTTTAGCAAACAGACCCATGATAATCATCAACACTCCACTTGTAACTATTACCATGCGACTGCCAACCTACAAAATAAAAATATAATTTATGCTGTTTAATCATCCCAAAGGCATTGAATGACCTGAATGCTATGAGTTCAAATCTTGACCAGCACATTCTTAAATGTCCGGTGAAATAAACCGGTCTTGCCTTTGTAATCCCAAGAGCTCCAACATTCTCACTGTAGGAGGTGGTGCCGTTGCCTGTACCCCAGGCTCCTGCCAGCAAACAGCCCAGTCCTTCGACGCCAATACCTCTGTTGATAGCATGTTTAGGAGGAGGCGGAGCACCAGAGAGTCTGGCACAGGCATGGTAGTCCCCGACAGACTCAATCATGGAGGAGATGACACCAGCCAGGATGCCAACTACTCCTGCCAGGCTCACTGTCGGCTTGCCCCACTGACCTACATTTAAAATCAACAAAAGGACTTCATTGTTGCGTGCGGTCATAGACCCAAATGCAGCACAAAGGAGACTCTCTTCAGGTACAGCAGGTTTATTTACAAAATGCCAAAACAACAAAAACTCACTTGGTCACAGGAACACTGCACAAACTACAAGGCATGTGCTTCTCTAACACATGGACTACGAACACTGACCACAAACTGGCCAATGAAGAATGGTCACAGTGAAGGAGAGAGGTAAATATACCCAGGGCACAAGGTGATGAGAGTTAGACTTGTGTCACCTTGTGATTACATTGACACCGGTGAATGTGATCACACTAACTCCACCCAGCAGACAACAGGAAGGGGAAAGCAGACAGCCCTGACATTAATATGAGATTTTTGGGACTTATTTTCACATTTTAAAAGTTGATTCGTTCTTTTAGGGTCTTACCTGGATACGGGAAACTGAACCAGGAAGCTTGGCCTATAACATCTCCCTTTAAATCCGCGCCAGCTCCCCCCACTGCCTGGGGCCAGCAGGAAATACATTAAAGCTGGTCAGAATGTAACAGATGAGCCAGGAAAATGTGATGCCCAGCAAAACCTACAATTTTACAGACAAACAAAATGAGCTAAAGTAAACTGTGAACCCCCGGAGGCCTCTGTGTAAACATGAATGGCAGATTATTTAATACGTACCGGGAGAATCTGAAAGACGTAGACACGAGTGGTGTGCAGTTTCTTGGCCTTGCTGTACTTAGGAAAAGGCACAGGTATGTGTCGAAGGTACTGTGAAAACAGAATGATCAGCGCTGTGGTCCTGTGTGAGAGAGGAATGTGAGAAAATTACTGTGTTTATTTGTATTTGTTATTTGTATAATATGAAATCAAATGTCATTTGTTTGTATGTCACACTAAATGAGTGCCACACTAAAATTAGTAAAAGTCACATTTTGAAGTTGATTTATGAATTAAAAATAAATGTAAAGGGATCTGAAAATCTGAAACCTAACGTTACAACTGACCTATGGCATTAAGTTCCAAGTATAAAAATTATACCCACATAGAAGAGATGCCCCAGTGGTTGCCAGCGCTTGTTCCAGCTGAGTCAAACAGTGACAGTCCAATGAGGGAGATCGTTGGAGCGATGGTGAGGGGACCAATGAAGCGTAGAAAGAGACCAATGAGGCCAGAAAAACCAACGAACACTTGGAAAAGTGAACCTACCATTATGGAGCCCTGGAGCTAAAGACAGAATAAAATGATAAAATTGAGAAAAATAAATAAAAAGAAAATGGATGAAACGTTTTGGTTCGTGGATTTGTCAATTCGTGGATTTGTCAATTGTCATTTAAGTTGGGGGAGGAAAATCTTTTTTAAAAAAATGCCCTCTTTTCCAAAGACTTATAATTAAAGTGGTCATCAAACATTTAATAACGCCAAGGCGTAATGTCAGATTCACACTACATTTTCTGTTGTTCACAGCAGTGCATCCCAAGCCCTGTGCGGTGGGTTCATGTCCTGTGAGGGAGATCACCATTATCCAATTTCTTTTTATTGGTCCAAAAATATTCATATATGTTCATATATTCAATTGATTTGTAGGTCAAAGAGAAATACTTCTCTCTAAATGAAAACAAAACAGTGGAATTCTTTTGAACAATACATTCATAATGCACAGCTAACCACCATGCACTGACCAGTCCATAGCAATTCCTGATTATTATCTGTTAAACAAATACAGCAAAGTACAACTGGGGACACATTACATGTATCATCTGTGTCATCTGCACTAGTGTGAGAATGAATCTGTGAAAATCCTTCAGCTGCTACACTCCTCCTTGACGACATCCCTGACTCTTTTCTGATTCTTCATTTTCCTCCTGACAAACAGCTTTAACACAAATAAAAAAAACCTTTTTGTATAGCCATTATATTATAAATAAAGGATATGTATGGTTATATATACATTTATTATTCTTATTATTATTATCATCCATAGCACATAATCAAACCATTTTAACATAACTTCAGCTGTATCTAAAATACCATCTAAAGCAGAACATACTAGTAGTATGTCTATATCAATCTATACTACTCACCTTAGCTTTGACAATTCTTTTCCATGATATACCTTCACATTTATGCATTTAGCAGACACTTTTATCCAAAGCAACTTACAGGGGAAGGATTAAAAATCAAGCATGTGGTTTCTCTGGGAATTAAACCCAGGACTCTCTGCTCTCTGCTTCCGAGGCAGGCCTGGTAACCACCACACTATGGAACCGACAGCTGATATGTTGTGTGACTGAATAACTGTATGCCTGAATAATTACCACAGCTATGCACGTCA